ATTATATACGGTACCGCATCTAACTTAGGTTTGCTGTCTAGTACGGTACCGTACACACATAAACAAGATAGATAAATAATAAGTTAGTCTCAGAGTGCTGCCTTTTAATTTTAATTTTCTTTGTATAAATAATAACAGTGCTCAAATACTAATAATTATAACATTATTATGATGTCATAATCATATCAAGCATAGCCCTTCAAAGAAAAGTTCTATTTTCAGTTGTATGAAAAAGTGTCTCTGGCGGGATTCTAACCTGCAGCATACGTGATAGAACACCTTTTGGAAATTATCGCTATCATCAAAATGTTCAACTCGACTTCTTATTCATTTAATTTCTGTTAAAATGTATGCCACATATATGATGACATTTTAATTCATTCAAAATGGTATAAAATTTTAAAGTGATAACTTCAATTTATTTCACTGACATTCACGAACATCGACATTAATAATGAATTGAATATATCCGTTAAACCAACTGGACGGAAGTAAAAATGAGTTATCGCGACTAGCTTTAGGGATGCAATCCCTTAATTAGCGGTAACAGTAATTGAAAAGTGGAATTGTAACATGCAATAATACAAAATATAATCACGCGATGGTGAGTTCCGGCCTTCTCGACAGCATAATGGCGTTTCTGAAATGTTAATCAAACGTAGCAACTGACCAATTAGGACAGGGCCAGAAACACGCGCGTTTATATAAGTTTCGTCTGACCTTAGCAACAATATCCAAGGGGCGGGCTTATAACGGAACGGTCCATTGTCATCTCGGGACAGAGGTCTGATTTTTTTTCAGATGTATTAGGCCTATGCCAAGAAAAATACCCAAAGAATCATAAAAATCATTTTAGACATTAACTTGCCCATTTTGAAGTAACATAAAAATTATCAACTTGAACATAGAAATTTGTGTATTTAAAAATTGTTTACACATCATTTTACAGCGAAACGTGGTACAAACACTTCCAGTCACTGGACGTGTTTTATTATTTTTATTATAATTATCCAGTTTAAAAATCAGGGTACTCATTTTTTTTATTCAATAATTTTCATGCTCAAGTTTATAATTTGTATGTTAATGCAAAAATGAGCAATTAATTTCAAAATAATTTTTATGTTTTTTTTTTTGTCATTTTCGAAGAACAATAAATATTTACACAAACATATTATTATAAAGATATATCATGTGTAGGCCTAAGTATCTAGAAAATACTTAAAAATCAGTTGATTGAATTGGTCATTAAAAATGAATTTTGTTATCAACTTCTACCATGGACCTATTAATAATAATAGGTCCATGCTTTTACTAAAACAGAGCTTGAAACTTCACTAATTAACTCCTTGAAGTACTTCGCAAAGATCTTTAAAAAAGTGCCTAAAAATTACGGAACTTTAGTGACATCCAGTACCTTGTGAACTTACTGCTAACAAAACTACGTGGAAACGTCTTCAAAATATGTAATAGGCAGTTTTCGCCCCACGACGTTAACATTAACGGTAACGGATTACGTCATAATTTATTCATCTTGTGTTGCGGAGTACGTTAATTTCTGGATTTTACGTGCTCGACGTACGTTAATAAAAGGTTTGCGCATGCGTATTTCGATTTGTTTACAAAAGGGGCGGAGCTAGCTATCGCGCTGCATTTTGGTTACTAACGTTAAAGTTAAGGTTAACGTCGTGCGGCGAAAACTACCTAATGAGACTGATCAGAAACTTTAAATTTCAATTTAAAGCTTTTGTAAACATTTAATAATTTGCAACCTATCCATGAATGTGAAGAATAAGGACTAGTACGGTACTTAAATCGACGCCTGTAGGCCTAAGTGGTGGCGGGAGGGAGTGGGAAGGGGGAACCGTACTTGAATATTAGCTGCCGTCAGATTAGAGTCAAAATAATTCTATTTGTTCAACTTATTTACAGTAGCTTAAAGAAGACCGTAATACATTTGATGCATTTGTACATTTTAACCAATGGCCATAGGCCTACTGTCTAAGGATTAAGAAAGAATCAATCGCATCAATACACCTACAGTTTAAACAGTACACAACATTGAATGAATTGAAGAATTCTGTCAAATTTATCTGCTTCCCATTTCAATTACACTCGTGTTCATTATTTTTTTTATTCAAACGGCTTTCAGTATTTTTTTTATCTCGAATTTCTTAGGCATGGGCCTGTGGTTGTTTGTGATATGGTTGAAATAGTTGGAATCAAAATGTTGCCTTAAAATACCTGTAATATCAATGACAATCCGCTCATGTCCGCCTTCGGCAGTCGCCAAGCGCTTGTACCGAACATGAATTCATTGACATGACGGAGTGCGCCCGGATTTAATTAGTTCTTAAATGACAATAGGGAGATTTCGCAACCTTACGAAACGATAACGATAACGAATACTAATATCGTTATCGTCTTTGTGCCTAAAAAAATTTTTTGACAATGCTGAATGAGCTGAATAACATCATTGATTCATGCTGAAAGCATGATTCGCCTACATTGTGACGGATATGGAGAAGGGTTGTCTAAGAAATTGATGACGTAGCCGTGTTCGTTCTCGTTTTCATAAGCTTGCAAAAACTCCCTATTGATTCAATTATTACCATTGAAACTGTCAGTGAATATGTGAAAAGGAAATTCCTTTCAAATTTTTGAAAGTTGTTAACCTATCGTTCTTTATTCTTGTAATTGAGAACTTCAATGTTTTAATTAATTTTCTTTATTTTCAGTTTTCATTATTCATTAACGGTGATATGTTTATTTATTTGTTTGTGGAAGCATGTACCAGAGGTATATACGATTCCTTTGACTAAAAACAATAATCTAGGGTTCGAAACGTATGTTTGCCAATTATTTTCTGACCGCGGTCAAACTATTTTATCAACATTACTGTCGCTGTTCATCCAGGATTACAAGTGGTTATATTTTATTTTCTGCTACATGAATGTGCTCTTGACATTAAAGTATTTAATCGAAGTTTTACATCGTTTTAACACCTGTACCTGTCACAGAATACAATCATGAGAGTTAAAATTCTGCTTATATTTTTCACTGCATCTTTATGTTACTCTAAAAATAAATTGTAAATCCTTAATATCTCTATTGTAATATGTCGAGAAATTTCCGAAAGCTAATTAAAATGTTAATGCGGTAATAAACATGACAAAGTGTACCTCTTTTTTTTAAATAAAATTAATAGAGTGATTATTGTAAACATTTATCTTAATTGCATATGGAGATCAATGAATTGAGTGACGTCAAGTAAGGATAGCTTATTTATAACATCTAAACTGCTACAGTCTCACATGCTGTTCGAGAGCATATGCAACGTAAATCGTTCGAAATTGTCTCTTGTGACGTCATTCGTTAAAATCATGGATTTGGTATCATGTCGCTAAACATGGTATGTAAATAGATATGCATATGTTCTCCATGGGGATGATAATGAGATTCTTTCTAACTTTCTGTGCTTATACTGAAAAAGCATTACTGTATTGTATTCAAATCAAACAAAAACTAGGCCTATTTTAAAGCGTTTATATCTCTAAAACGTGGTTTATAGAATTGTAAATAAATGCATTTATATTCATAATCATATATTGCGTATTTGCGTGGGTAACGAATCACCGGAAACATTGATAGAATAGTAATTCGAAATTAATTAAAGGCCTAAGGTTGCTATGATATGATTTCATTATAACAGATATAATTCTAATCGTGATTTGTTTGATTTCTCTTTTACTGTTATAATGTTGATTATTTTTATAAATTTTATTCTTAAGACTTGTTAAAAGATACTTCAAAATGGATTACCGTAATTATCATTTAATTACGTAAGACATGTTGTAGTTTTTCACAGTACACGGATCATCAGGGAACAATGCTACATATCCCTTTCCCGTCTGTATTCAAATCTTCCGAAGCACTGGGTCCTTATTCTTAACACTTAAATATTCGGTTTTCTAATCGGTTCGGAAAGCCTACCGAATCGATAAAAATTAGTCCAAGATTAGATCACTACAGACATCTTGCCATTGCCCATTTGGCATTAGCGATGGCTTTCGAACTTTTTTAACATCTTTTATTTTACTATTCAATTATTTGACAGTTACATAATTTTGACAGACAGAAAGTCCGAATCTCAAAATACTAAGTATCTTTAAAATTATATTCCAAAAATAGATGACGTAACTGTTTGTCATAGTTTTCATAATTCTGGTACAATATATAAGTAGCGCCCTCTATAAATATATAAATACTTTTTTTTATTCAATCAGAATCACTGTGTAGCTTGCGTTTCGTCCATTCGTTCAGTCATTCATAATTTTGCTAGCGGTGTATGTTACACAGAGAACGATTGCTACGCGCCATATGCTCGGTTTCGAATGAGACACACAGGCACCATCTCATATTCATATTCTCTTTTGACTTACAGTGAAACACAAGTAGCGGAATAATCACACAAAATAATTGAGGGAGAAACTTTACTTAAAAATGGGATCGAGTCGGGCTGCGTCGGTCGATTATGGAGTGTTTGAACATTCACCAAGTACGGAAGATTTAGAGGAAGCGCTTTCGTCACATATGCAGTGGGAAGGATTACTTTCTGAAATAGGTGGAACAGCTTTGTTGGCAGGGTAAGTAAAACATAATCAATTATAGTGTTCTTTATTTTTGTTTATAAATAGAGCGTCTTTGTTGTATTTTATCCTCAACCTCTGTGTCATCATCAGCATCATACCATTACAACAAATCAACCCTGTATCATGCGTTTCGTCATCATACTTTAATACACCATCATAATCATAACAATAATAATCATCATCATCACCATCATAATCATTATCTTCTTCTTCTTCTTTATCATCTTCATCATCATCATCCTCAGCAACATTCATCGCTTATTGTTATTATCATATCACCAGGCATCATCATCACAAACGATTATTCGGATCAACAGGAATGAACCCGTGCCTCTTGCTTTATGCAGACAAACCGACTGGGATATGGAACTTTGGCAGCTTTGACAGCACTGACAAACAACAAGCAAGTTTAATAATTGAGCATAAAAATAGAAAAGTAAAACATTCGAAAAAAATTCAAAAGAATTCAAAAGAAAAAAAGTTAAAGATTAAAACGTAAAAATCAATGACTATTATTTGAATATACACGTAAAATCACAATTAACGTTATAGAAGAAGAATACCAATATAATCGAGTGTAAAATATGTGGTCCAGTTACTATATTACCTCATAATACTTAGCAATGCTATCTCAGGTTTTGTGCATATTATGCCAATTTTTTATATTAAATTTCCATAAAGGTATGATTCGTCTTTACGCTGATTGTCAAGACGTCATAGCTTACAATGTCCATCGAGACATCTTTCAATTTATTTTAAGGACAGCCAAAGTAAGCAAAACATTTTAACCAAATCCCAAATCCCCCTTCAATATGCACGTTAGCAGTTGTGGTGAATTTATTTGATACAAACTGGAATCTATAATTGTCAAGCAATATTTTTTCAGTGCACCGTAACAATAACAAGAGCAGATTCAGAAACTCCTTTGTTTAAATATATCTCTTGAAATTGCACCTGCTCCATGTTAAATTAGTATAGAGTATATATAGTAAATCAATCGTATTCAAAAAGAATTCTTTTCATAGTGAAAGGGATTTGGGTTTATGACGTCTGATAAGACACCTTGCGACATTGTGCTATCTTTGTTTACAAATGCGACGTCTGTCTTTCATTTTCCATTGTCATCTAATTATTGTAACCTATAAATTGTTGGTTCAACTCATATTTATGTATGATTGAACCATGAACTGCTGACGGTGTATCATTTACGTCATTTATACATTTTTAAGATAGGGTTTGAGCAAAAATAAACTTGAACAATATTCTTTATTTCAACTTATGACTTAGTATATTTAAGTTATTCCTTTCAATTAAATTGGATGAAGAATTATGCCTTCGGCAATTAACAGACGTATATTATTATTAAGTTATTTGCTTTTGGAATTGGAATGAAAAAAAATGTTGACAAAAACCACACACTTAAATATACCTAATATCTCTTCATAGATTCTTTGCATTTGTCGATTAATTTTAATGGAAATAAATCAGTAAAAACCGACTTGTTTCAATCTGTGCGTCATTGAATGTTCATATCTTTTTAAATATGGAATTCAATGTTTTAATTATATATTTTTTCAGATTTTAATAAAAACATGTCAATTACTGTATAAAATACTTTTATATTCCAGATATGAAAAAAATGACAATCTATACAATATACAGTACATATACAGGCTAGTATGGTTTTATAATTCTAGCTTTCATAATATTCTGTTCAAATACTTCCACTCGAAAAATGACAATCTATACAATATACAGTACATATACAGGCAGTATGGTTTTATAATTCTAGCTTTCATAATATTCTGTTCAAATACTTCCACTCGAACGGTTATGAACATTTATGTAAATCATTCATCAACCAACCAACCGACTGACCAACACACCAATCAAACAAGCAAGTCAACCAACCACTCAACCAACTAACCAACGGACCAACAAACAAATCAACCCACTAACAAAAGTCAACCAACCAACCAACTAACCAATCAACCAACCGACTGGCCAACAAACCAATCAGCCAAACTAACAAACAAGTCAACCAACTAACCAATCAACCATTTAACCACTTAATCATCCAACCAACCAAACGACCGACCGACCAACAAACCAATCACCTAACTAAAAAACAAGTCAACCAACCGACCGACCGACCAACAAACAAACAAACCAATCAACCAACCAATAAATCAACCAACCAACAAAGTGGGCGAGTGAGAGAGTAATCTATCAATCATTCAATCAAGCAATTAATTATTCAATCAATCAATCAATCGATAAGGACAGAGTAATTGGATTTTTTGGCTAAATCTATGCTATGGTATTAAATCTGATTTTCATTTGATTTCACTGGCTTGAACTCCTCTAATCCAAATCTCGGGTTAACAATAACTAATTATCCGGAAATTTAAAACTATAAATTGTCTCAATGAGATTATTCGCTATTGACAACAGCAATCTCATATTGAGTGTCAGTGATAATGTTTAAATGATAAAGCATTTTTAAATTATTTCCTTACTTATTTCTCTTTTCTAAGACGAAATTCAGAAGAATCAGACTAATTACAATGAGATGATTTCTAATGATACATCGGTGATAAAAACATCTATTGTACAATATTCCATTATATTGTAGTCATTTTGTCATTTTTTTTAAATTTTGAGTTACAGCAATAACTCTGCGGTGTCAAGAAAGTTCATTTGCGAGGCTTTGCAATAGTATTTCAATATTCATCTTAAAACGATTAATTTTACAACCGCTCGCAAAATTTTACACATTGCGGCAGGACAAGACTATGCTATATTGTGAATTTCATTATGTCGACCTATACCGAAAGCGTGTGGCAATCCCAAGAGGAATATTTAATATTGAATTTTTATCATATTTGAATAATGATGTCCGACAGTAGGATATGTAATTACCGACGTATCGTCTTATATGTATTTTTTTTTAGAACACATTAATACCCTTTTGCATTATTTGTCTTTTATATTATTTATGATTGTCAAATATACATAATTGTATACCTGTATAGAATATAGTTTACAATTATATATAAATATTATAATAATGATGGTTATTATGATGATAAGATAAGATAATTGTTATTGTCCAATTTTATTCTTTGACAATATGGAACACCAACGGTACATTTTCACATAAAAACACAGGACGATATAAAAGGCGCTTAAAACTCACATTGTAAAATTTAAAATAGGAGCAAGAGCAACACGTAATTGTAATACGATGCCCGTGATGATGATGATGATGATGATGATGATGATGATGATGGTGGTGATGATGATGATGATGATGATGGTTGACCGTCCGATTCTCTGAAATCACATATACTAAAAGTTATAGGCCTACTTATAAGAATATAACATCAATAAAGCTAAACTCGTATTTCAAGACACAATATAATATGAATAAGATATAGGTTTTCTTAAAATTTCTTATAGATATATCATGGATAAAAAAACACAATTCGGTGAAGGAATCTGAATTGAAATCTTAAATATAGGCCTACTCCACGAGCATCTTTTTGATTTGAAAAGTAATGTGCTCTCCCTCATAGATAAGATACTTCTGCGCATTTCTTGTTTGAATTATTAATTGATTTTAAATGTCCAACTCCGTGATGATCCGTAACGTCTTCGTGATCATTATTTTCAATATACATGGTCTTTAGATATAGAAAGCACGCCTAATGCGTTTGCCACCAACTAGACGTCATAATGCGAGCAACCCCATATTAATCCTTTTAGAAATGTTGTAAATGTAAACACCCTGAGCATTCCATCTTGATTGGCTGGGACACAATACGTAGCCACATTTACAAACGTACTTACATCAAAGTTCGCGCACAAGACGTAGTACATCAGCTACTAAGTTGGTCATCAGCTACATCGATTGCTAAAAGTTAGCAATCGATGTGTGATTGCTACGATATCCAAAAAATCAAAGTTCACAAAGATAATTATTGCTTAAGTATAGAATCAAGATCGAGAATTTAACTCAACGATGTTCAAACTACATTAACGTAAATTGTAAATGATAGTTAATTACCGGCACTTTGGTAAAACATCTTCGCTTTTTACTCAAAATAGCATAAACCAGGAAGTGTTAAGAAACATTTGTAGAATTATTGCTGTAATATTTTATAGGTCCACCGCACATGATATTCGGATTCCGTCCATAATTGAGATTCTGTGTGATGTTGTATGACGAAGTTTCCAATGCACAATTTATGTTTTATTGCAAGTCAGTTTTTTGTGCTAAATCTCGTGTAAAGTAAAACACGTAGTTGATATAATGGAATTGCTAATATTGTATGTGGGAATTTAAATTGTACGTAGAATTGGATCTTTAAAGCTCGAATTTATGTCTTATTGTCGCTTTGGGGAATATTAAGTTTGAATGTGACGGAATTTACCTTAATCTATTGAAAATATTTAATTCAATTCTGATTGCCACATCCATAGGTATAAAAAAGCGTAGGCCTATATAACAGCATACAGCTCAAAACGATTGGTAAGTCGAAACTCAATACTCATGTTAACTTCTGACTTCAACATACGAGGTAATCCAAAACTAAACACTGACTTTCGTGGTTATACAAAAGTCTGCACAAATGACACGGAACCCCCACGCAGCATACGTATGAATATTGTACTCGATTATATTATGACACTTGAATTATTAATCACTGAAACAAATAGTCTACTACTTTATTCTCAGGAGGTATAGCCATGTGAATAATTAAAGAATGCTATACAATCTTACGTGATCGTTCACAGACCTATACTAAAATGTGGAAATTCCGTAAAATATGCTAATCAATGTTGGGGCAAACTTTGAGAGCGATTTGATTTGATAAAAGAACATCGTAGGCCTATAGACGATAAGGTCAGTCTTAAAAGCCATTTAATGCCCAGTATTATGTTTATACTTGCCCTCTCAATCAGTACTGCTTAACGGCAGTCTGATTTATAAGAAATGATATCGAATCTACCTTGAGGCTATTTTACAGATGATCAAAATACAGATGCATCATTATTAAGAGGATTGGACCTCTAATTGGCATTTTATTTTTGCTGAATCGTTATAATACCAACGCAAAAAAACTTAACTTGAGCTTATCACACAATTGTAGATTTCCTTTTCAAAGTAATGCCTACATCACTAGTGAATTTTGTCAAAGTCTGTTTCCTCTTTCTCATTGAATTTTTTTTTTAAATTTGTAAATCAGTGTGTATTTAGATAGGTTCAACCACAATAGTATTAACAAACCCACGGTTGTAAGTGATTTTCATAATTGGATATTCAGTTAACGACATGTATGTATTCCTGTCATGCTCCATTCTGCATATGCTTGGGTGTAATTTACCAATCCGGTACTAAGCGATTTAGATTTTCTTGCTCATACCTAATAGAATTCATTCAATTTACTAACAAGTCAAAACATATTTATGTAATTATTAAATACTTAAGTATATTTTATGATTGGATATTTTGTTAACGACCTCTATGCATTGTGATGTTTCTTTTAACATATGTTTTTAAATAATGTTTAATAATTTGTTACTGCTTGGTAAAATATGTTCACGTTGTTTTTGTTTTAGTCTATGTATTTTGAATAGACGAGCAATATCTATCTAATAACATTTAGAAACGACGCGGCAATTAGACGATGATTGGCAAAGGACTTAAAATAAATGCCTTCAGATTTGTTAGTACAACCGACAATGTTCTGAAACACTACGAAAGCTTGCACTCATAATTTATTCTGAATCTGAGCGCGGATATTATTTACGTAAATTGCTTGCCGAATGTTAATGAGAAATTTTATGTTAAATATTGTGTTTTGTACTTCCGTTACCGACGGAAACCCGATACAACATCTTAACAGCTGTCGACATTTGCAAATAGCCGCAACTATTAAAATTTCTTTTATCTTCCTTTATTAGACGCAAGGAAAGCACATTTAGCTTCTGTAATAATTAATTGTAATTTGGACCGCGCGAAACTCAAATAATTTATCGTTCACTTACACTTAGACTTACGGTTTGATGGGTAATATTATAGGCAAAGCGTCCTGCATCCATATCTGTTTGGGTCCACGAGTTGTCTACCCTAGGAGCCAGACCAGGTTTTGTATACACTTTAAGGTGCAGAGTATTTGACTTCAGAAATTAGTTTAGGGTAGTCCAAGAATCCTTTTTGGCTTGGTAACATATTTTTCAAAATGTGGCGAAAGGTCGAAAAGGTCAGGGTCAAAGGTCAAAGCTATAAGGTCCTTGTATCTCCGCAACCACAGGTGTATAGAGTTGAATTTGGTGTCAAATTGTTCGAAACATGAATATTTCTATTTGCTCTAATAGAACATTTTGCTACAAAATGACTGGAAATGTCGTTTCTGACCTTTGACATGCTTCAAGGTCATAGCCATATTGTCCTTATATCTCCGCAACCACTGGTGGTAGAGGGTTAATTTTGGTGTCAATTTGTTCGAAACATTCATGTTTCTATTTAGTCTAATAAATGAGTTTACTAAAAAATGACCAGAAATTCCATTTCTGACCTTTGAACCAAAATGGTGTGTTGTACATTTTGCGGCATTGAAGTTTTTCAAGTTATTTCAAGTTCTCTTGCAAGGCAACTTGATTTTGATTCACAGAGTTTCTGTTGACATTCTTGATTTTGGAATCCTCATCTGCAAACATACTAACATCTGAACTGACTGCTTCAGGAAGGTCGTTAATGTAGACAAGGAACAGCAGTGTTCCGCGAACTGAGCCCTGGAAAACTCCGCTTAGAACTTCGCACTAGTTTGACTCTGCACCTCCTACTAACAATTTTTGTCTTCTCCCAAACAAGAAGCCTTTTATCCATTCCAGTGCTTGTCCTCCTATTCCATAAGCTTTGATTTTAGTTAACAGACTCTGGTGGGAGACTGAGTCAAAGGCTTTAAAGAAGAAATCTAGATAGGCCGTATCTACATCATCACCGTTATCCTAGTATTTTTTTACTTGTTCCAATGTTTCCAGTAGATTACTTAGGCACGACCGACGATTTAGAAATCCATGTTACTTAGTAGGTAGCTCGTTTTCAGCTAGGTGGTTCATCACTTTTCTCGTATAATGGATTCCAGGATCTTGCTTGGTACTGAAGTCAGACGGATCGGTCTGTAGTTACTATGTGTTGTGCGAGCAATGCCGTAGTCAGGATTTTCAAACAGGGCGGGACAATATCAGGGTGGAACCTCTTTACGCGTAAATTCAAACGATGTGAACCAATTTTCCCAAAAATATGAAAAAGCTGGACCCATTTTCTTAAATTTTATCCATTTTAGGCTAAATGAGAGATCTGGACCCATTTTTCAAATAGTGGACCCATTTTATGCATAAAATTGCATAATTTGGCCCTATTTTAAAAAATGTTGACCCATTCTTTATGGAACCATTAGGCAAATTGTTTGGGACTGTCCAAATAGCTGGCTACGGCATTGCATGCGAGCACCCTTCTTGTGTACCCTTGCATCTTTCCAGTCACTTGGCAGTTTCTCTTCATCTAAGGATGGTCGAAAATGTTAGGGGGAAAACTCTATGCTTATATTTTAAATGTTAAATGGGCTACTGTATTATGATTCACGACGTTACATGATTTGAATAAATTTGATATATAGTATTGTTTAGATAAAGCTCATGTTTTTCAATGGTGTCCAATATTATATCAGCAAGTGATGCGGAATCACGAATTTTTATACGCGAAATTACGTGTGAGTGACTATAATATGCTTTATAGATATTCATGGAACCATAAATATCTTCGTCATAAATATGAGTCTGCGTCAATCGGAATGTAAATATTAAAGAATTGCTTACAATTCACTAAGAGATTAAAGATAGTCCATGCTGTTGTATGCATGCAGTATATCAAACATAATCATACCAATTAGAAAAAAGCATTCGAGGCCTATAGATTTATAATAATTATTTTAATTCAATTCAATTTATTAAATTTATTCAACAAATACCCCAAGGCTGGGGAAGGTAAAAATATATAAAATACAATAAAACTTCATAATACAAAATTAATCAGAAGAAATTCGCATCCATTATACAACAACCAAAGGTACGGAAATTTAAAATGGTCTTGTTAAGTTAATGATTGTATGAATATCGTTATTGTATAAGCGATTCTTTACACTGTCACAGATTCCATGGTTTACGCAATTGTGACTCTTTATATCAGCCTTTAAACGTTTCTTGTATACCTTATTGAATGTAACAGAAACAAAGGATACATTTCTATCGATATTACCCTTGATTCTGTCAATGAGAGTACTTCTATACAACATATTATTTTTTGCTTCGCAATTAAGATAAAATACCCTAGATTTAGAATCATTAACAAGCAGTTGTGACAAGAGATCAATTTGATTAGACAAAATAATATATGCAGTATATGCCTGTTGAAAATGTAACCATACTGTTTTCCATCACGTGATGTTGCGCGTAGCCTCACTCTGTGTAGCATAGGCCTACTGACTTTGCAAGCAAAACTTAAAGAATACAATGCACTATTTTAATTGCTTTTCTATCTGCTATTGTTCAAACTGATGTCTAGCATTAGAGCCAAAAACAGCAAATTTAATTTGCATGTTGTGAGTGTGATGCAACCTATAACAAACTAATCAATATTTATTATCTTACCTTATTTGCTCAAGCATTGAAGTGCAGGAACATTAGTTGTGTTTTGTACTGAGGTACCTACCAACACTGAATAATTTTTTTTATTTTTTAACGTATAGTAAGAATATAGTTTTCCAGATGCCAAGATGCATATGTACCGAAAACTAATGAATGTTGCAGTTTTAGTCTCATTCCACGGGGGAGATATATGGATATAAAATAAGTGGGTCTATGAAGTGTCACCCCCAGAATTCTCCGTGTACATCTGTCCTTTTCCGTGACAGTCTTTACAGACTTCATGTATCTGAAAAGATCCAAATCTATGCCATATTTCTGGCTTTATCAGCAATCGTGCCAACTAGACCTATGTCTACGTTTCTTCCAATGTAAACATGTCTGTGCTCTCTCATGTCCAGTAAAACTCCATCCCATATCTTTGCAATCTTTGATGTCGCCCTTTTGTAGGTACCTCGTTTCTGGATCCCTTACCAAATCTGGTGATTTTTTTTTCCTCAACAAAGTAATGAGCTTAATTAATGGTGGTGGATACGGAGCGGGAACTAAGAAAGCATACCACGTACTTCCTAGCTTGAACAGTTTGAAAATGAAAATTTATACTATAAATCATATCAATAACTGATGTTACTCCCATAATGTCAACATGTTAATTAGGCCTAAATGTGTTTTTAATAATTATTATTTCGTTTTTCTTTAAATTTCTTAACAGGCAAGATGAACTGTACATCCTTTGGCAGAAGTTAAGAAATGATGAGCCAGAGCTAATGGAGATCTTTCAAAACTTTCTTCGGAAATCAGTAAGAGAAATTGAGAAGATGAATGATAAGTGTGATGACGTCGTTAAAAGGTGCGTACACGTCACAAATAATCAGCTTGAAAAAAGTATGTCAATAATATCTCATGGATCATACCGATTATGACTACATATCTTATGACCTTGTATTTCGTTACTAAAAATGTTTCTTCCTTCGCCATGTTATACCCCTTTCAATACAGAAAGTCCCAGTCCGGTTAGGCTAAAGGTTATAAGTTATCATATGACAAGCTTAACTTATTCTCTTTTAATGTACGCATATATATAT